AATAATAAAAAAAAGAAGACTATTAGTTTTAGTTTCTTATTTACTCGTTATACGTACTCTAAAAACCAAAAAACTAAGATGTACAAGATTTTAACTTTTAAAAAATTTGCTTGTTACGTTATATCTGATATTATCGATACTGTACAACGGTGGCGGTGGATAATCACAATAAGCTGGCTGCGGCAGTGACGTTGATCTGACATCGATCATCGATCCAGCGTCGATCATCGACCCGACGTCGATCATCGACCAGTACTTTGGGGGGCCGCCCTGATATACTCGGTCTACCAACATGATTGTCAGCTTATTAACATATCTATCTTTTCAACTCTAACGCTAATAAATTTTATAATTGTAGTACAAATATTTAGCCAATCAAAATTTCTTATAATCATATGGACATTGGACATTGTCCAATGTCCATGTCCAAGAATTTGGTTTGGACATTTGTCCATGTACATTATTAGCCGCAAATAATTATGTGGACATGGACATTGGACATTGTCCAAAATTGTCCATGTCCAATAATTTGCTTGGACATTCGTCCATGTACAACACTGCTCCCACCCTTTTTACTATTCTTAGTATTTTTAATTGGTTGGGAGATTGATCCGTACCCGAAAACGCTTTTGATAGGATTCCAATAATAATTTTTCCAGTTTCGCTTGACAATTTCTTCTTCACCAACTGGAACGCCTTTTTGAGTGACATTAACGCGAGTATAATCGCTTTCTTGTTCAAATTCCAGAGTGACCGTTGAAAAATTGCCTTATATATTTCGACAAATACAAGTTAACAGTAAATTTTAGATAAAGGATTTACAATAATGTTCCTTAAGGGCTTATTAATACCATCTGGCCAGGTTTTTAGTCTCCAAAATTGTACAATTTTTTTGTTTGCATCCTTTAAAGGAAAAAAGTAATATTTCATAAAAATATAGTTAATTTACATTTTTACGAATTGATCAATTATGGATTACAACTTACGAGTTCTAGAATCGATCTAGTAATATTTCACTAAAGGTGCTTCCAATATGTCGAAAGATATCAGTTCTTGATCTTGTCCAAGCAGCAACGCGACCTGGATCCAGTAAAGTTTCATAAACTTGATCGGCTGAAGTTTGCAGTTCAACGGTTTCTGTAATCGTTGTGGTGTTCACGAATTTGGGTTTTGTGGAGCTGGTTGTAGTCGCGGATCCAAAAGAAGTGGCGATAGGTGTCGGCGATTGAGAAGTTCCTGCGGGCTCAATTGGAGTGGTGGAGTGGACGCTCCAAGTTGAGAAGATTCAATATAAATATCTTTGCTATGGGCTGTTTAAAAGATATAAAGTTAGTTAAAGCATGATAGAAACGTAAACTTCTAGGCACATACTTTCTAGCATGTCTGGCAAAATTCTTAAACTTTTCGGCTATCAAAGGCGTCAGATGGGTAAGGATTACATCCTTTATAAGTTCTTTATCGCTAGTTTC